CAATCCTCACATTCCATCCCCCTTAGCTTCGAAAGTCCGCTGAGATGCTTACTTCGCAGGTGCCTTCCCTTTTAGCTTCCGTTCATAATCTGCCACCACCTGAGGAGCTGTTTCCATCAGTTCCTCCTGGGTAAACCACCGATCTTCTTTCAGATCTGTATGATGCCTGAATCTGATCCGGTACTCCCTCTTGGGTTTAGGAGGTCTTTCTCGACCCAGCGGCTTCAGAACAGGCATATCCCTGTGATCCACAATGTCGTCGATGTCGACTTGTCCATCCATGGTTGGGGGCAGCATCGATCTCCTGGAAGGGAATTGATCAGTCTCAGCGGAAGGTGCAAGCTTTGAGGTATGAAAGACTGGGTGAGTGCATAGGTGCCCAGGGACACGAATGACATATGTGGGACCATCCAAATCATCTCCCACTACATCCAAGACTTCCCAGGGACCAAAGTACTGAGGCATTAGTTTACGAGATATTCCGAACTCCTGTCCTAACTCACTAGCCTTGACCCAGACACGTTCCCCTACCTGAAATGTGGACTGCCTGCGATGTTGATTCTCAGAAGCAATCATGGCGTGCTGAGCCTTCGTCATTTGTTCAACAGCCTCTTGCAACAACTTCTCATATTGCACACCGTATTCAAGTGTGCCTGGAGTTGCAGCAGGTCGGTTTTCAGGTTGGAGGAAGTCCAGCGCTGATCTAGGCTTCCATCCTAAGTGCAGCTGGTTAGGACTAACGCCGGTACTGCTATGTATAGTGTTGTAAAGGCTGGCGATGAGAGGTAACTGCTCATCCCAATCATCCTGGCTGGGCTTGATGTAATGCCTCAGCAAGTGTTGCACAATTCTATTCATTTTTTCGGCCTGTCCGTTGGCTTTGGGATGCTTCCCTGAAGTCATCTGAAGTTGACTGCCCATCTGTTCCGCAGTCTTCTTCCACAGCTCACTTGTGAATCGGACGTCTCGGTCACTAATGATGGTCTTTGGTAAACCAAAGTCCCTTACCCAGTTGTTCTTGAACAACTTGATGACGTATTCTGTCCTGGCTGTCTCTGGCATTGGTATTAGTCTAGCGTACTTGGTGAATCGGTCGATGATGACGAAAATGTGCCTCTTACCACTCTTGCTGGTCACAAGAGTGTCCAGGAAATCCATCGAAACACTCAATCCTGGACCATCTGGAATAGGTAAAGGCTTCAATAACCCAAGCGGAGCTTGAGTTCGCGGCTTGTCCCGCTGACATACTTGACAGGTCTCAACATACTTCTTTGCGTCATCTAGCATTCTAGGCCACCAAAATCGTTGTACTAGGTTAGCACTCGTCTTCTTGTAGCCAAAGTGCCCAGTTGCGTCATGACATTCGCCTAAAAATAAACTACGCAACTGTTCACTATATGGAACTACCAATCTCTTTACTCCGGCCTTATCAAGATAGATTAGCCCATCCACCATCACAAATTCACTTTCTGTGGCCTTGTCTTTTGCCTGAAGTTGGATGATGTCCATCGTGACAGGGTCTTCCTGATAGGCTCCCACCAATGATTGAGTTACTTCATTAGATACGCCAAATTCAGAAACTAGTGCACCTAGGTAGTCTGCTCTACGGGATAGCGCGTCTGCAACCTTGTTGTACTCTCCCTTCAGGTACTCAAGGTTGAAGTCATATTGGTCTATGACCTCAATCCATCGCTTGAGTGCATCAGAAAGAGCCGGTTGAGTCTTGATCCATTTGAGGGTCTGATGATCAGTCCTCAGATAGAAGAACCTTCCCAAAAGGAAGTGTCTCCAATGGACAAGTGCCTTGTAGAGAGCATAGAGTTCCCTTTCGTAGGTGGACTTAGCCAACTTCTTTGATGGCATCTTCTTACTCATGTACTCGGTCGGTCTCAACTTTTTCCCATCCTGCGGAGCCAGCACTGCGCCAATGCCGTATTGGCTTGCGTCAGTGGTCACTATGAATGGCTTCTGCGGATCGGGAACCATGAGAACTTCATGATTCATGAGTGCATGCTTCAATCTCTTGAAAAGCACCCTCGCACTCATCACTCCAGTCCCACGGTGTGTCAAGTCGAGTTAGATCAGTCAAAGGAGTGGCGACTGTAGAATAGTTCTTAACGAAGTTTCTATAGTAGCCGCACATTCGTAAGAATGACCTGACCTCAGTGACTGTCTGAGGTCGTGGCCGGTCTCGAATACTAGCCACCTTCGCATCTTCCGGCCTAATTCCCTCCGCGGATACTTCATGACCCAAGTATAGTATCTTAGTGCGGCCAAACTCGCACTTCTCTAAGTTGACCTTATACTTGTGCTGTCACAGGAGTGAGAGAACTGTCTCGACATGTTGTGTGTGCTCCTCGCCAGACTTACTAAAGATCAGAATGTCGTCTAGATAGAATACGACAAACTTATCTAAATGGTCATGGAAGATCCGATTCATAGCGTGTTGGAATGTACCCGGCGCATTGCAAAGACCAAAGGGCATCACTACAAACTCATATAGACCATAACGAGTCTGAAAAGCTGTCTGGTGTTGGTCCTCAGGTCTTATTGCGATTTGATAATATCCGGATTTCAAGTCTATCTTTGTATAGTACTTGCATCCCTGCACCCTATCCAATAGGTCGTCTATGCGAGGTAGAGGCTCTGCGTTTTTCACCGTGATGGCATTAAGGCCTCTATAATCAATGCACATCCTCAAAGTACCCCCCTTCTTTGGTACGAATAGCACGGGTGATCCGTAAGGGGAAGTACTAGGCCGAATCCAACCCTTCTCTGTCAGCTCCTTAAGCTGTTTCCGAAGTTCATCTAACTCGGCGGGGGCCATCCTATAGATCCTTCCCTTTGGGGTCTTACTCCCTGGAATGATTTCTATAGCATGGACGACCTCCCGTTCAACAACTCCTGTGGGCTCCTCGAACAGATCAGGGAACTTAGCAACGACACGATCTATCTCTGGGGGTGTTTTAACGGCCTCCCCCTTCTCAGAGACGTAAACAAGGTACATACCCTCCTCTTGGTTCTGCTTATAGTAGTTGTAGAACGCTGATGCGCACAAGTAGCCATAGGTATCTATAATACTACTGGCCTTGAACTTAGTCAATCTGACATTTCGGCCATCGGGCAACTTATGTTTGAGCACGTTCTTATCGCAGTCGAACTGGGGCTTAGCAACTTCGAGGTAGTACATGCCTAATAACATTTCGAATGGCAAGTCGTCGCTAACCAAGAACGAGATTATCCCTGTCGAACTGGGGCTTAGCAACTTCGAGGTAGTACATGCCTAATAACATTTCGAATGGCAAGTCGTCGCTAACCAAGAACGAGATCTTATGGTTAAGCTCTCCTCCTCCATAGGAGAAGGTACAGACTACGTCCTTGATGTAGTCTGTTACTATCATGCGCTCCTTGTTGGCCAAAGTAGATGCTACTGGTCTACTAAGGTGCAGTACCCGGTCCTGTAGGTGCAGCCTTTCC